GGCAGTTTGATAGTGAAGGACATGATCCTTCAAGATCCCTGTGGCTGAGGAATGCTCAGCACTTCTGAAAATCAGGTCAGTTATTTAGACAACTCTGAGTACTTGTTTTTACTGTTCTCATCTGGACTGCATGGAGGACATGTGACCAGACACAAGGGTGCCAGAAGTATGACGCTTATGACTGAAAAAGTGTGTTGACAAACGAATATTAAAGAACGTGGTTACAGCGTATTTGTCCCCTAAGGATGTAAAAAATGTGTTCCACTGTTTTAGTGTAGACAGGATCTTAACCTTACTTCATAACCAAGCTCAAGGCCTTTAGATGATTTTTACTGAACGGATGCCATTTGGACATAGTACCTTGTGCATAAATGAAAAGCACAACTATTTTTTATTAATGCATTACCACAAAATATTAAATAATTTCCAAATAGCATTCATGGCCTCCTTAGCAAAAATGAAGGAAATGCACTTTTCTAAATTTCTAAAGGAAATTGCTTTACTACAATTTCTACTAATAAGTATTCACAGTGAATAATAATGAATGTACTTATGTTAATTATTAAACTGTGGGAAAGCCACATTTTTATAATATTTGACTAACCATGAAGAGTGTGATTACTGCACTTGAGAACATTATTCCATTCCCAGCCCAACAGAAACAGGGGTTATAAATAATTAAGCCCTTTCAGAAGAAAACTAATGAGCGCAGGAAGCCATACCTTCTGTCTTTTAAGTATTGTATTGCTCTTCTGGCATACCGCTCAGGACTTTAAGAAGTTGTAGTTCTTTATATTTCACTTAGCCTTTCTTTAAACTCCATTAAATGAACTATAGCGGAATAGTGACATTACTAGTGTTGGCCAGTAACTATTCAGTTTTCCTTCCCAGTACAGATAAAGTGTGAGAAACTTCTACTTCTCCTTGTTAGCCAAAGAATAATACAATATACTAACAAACCGTGTGCCACATTCCTCTCTGTAGGCTTCCGCATCATTGCAATAAGAACTCATGCCTTGAAATCTGTGATGTTTTGATGACCCCTGTGAGAAGTTCATAGTTTTGTGGTACTGCAAGAAATGGCTTCTCCTGGATTAAATCCCATGGCAGCACGAGGCAGCTTGTAACAGAGAGAGAAAAAAATAAAACATTTCGATGGGTTTAATTGTTTGTATTTAGTTGATGTAGAGGGTCAGATATTCAGCTGGAAGAAATTGATGTAACTTGATTTTACCAGATGGGGATTTGGCTCTCAGTCGGTATTACACTGTTAATGACAGAAACCAACATAGACTCATAGAATACTAGGACTGGAAGGGACCTTGAGAGGTCATTGAGTCCAGTCCCCTGCCCTCATGGCAGGACCAAATACTGTCTAGACCATCGCTGATAGACATTTATCTAACCTACTCTTAAATATCTCCACAGATGGAGATTCCACAGCCTCCCTGGGCAATTTATTCCAGTGTTTGACTACCCTGACAGTTAGGAACTTTTTCCTAATTTCCAACCTAAACATCCCTTGCTGCAGTTTAAGCCCATTGCTTCTTGTTCTACCCTCAGAGACCAAGATGAACAAGTTTTCTCCCTCCTTCTTATGACACCCTTTTAGATACCTGAAAACTGCTATTATGGTCCCCCTCAATCTTCTCTTTTCTAAACTAAACAAACTAATTCCTTCAGCCTTCCCTCATAGGTCATGTTCTCTAGACCTTTAATCATTCTCATTGCTCTTCTCTGGACCCTCTCCAATTTCTCCACATTTTTCTTGAAATGCGGTGCTCAGAACTGAACACAATACTCCAACTGAGGACTAACCAGCGCAGAGTAGAGCGGAAGAATGACTTCTCGTGTCTTGCTCACAAAACACCTGTTAATGCATCCCAGAATCATGTTTGCTTTTTTTGCAACAGCCTCACACTGCTGACTCATATTCAGCTTGTGGTCCACTATAACCCCTAGATCCCTTTCTGCCGTACTCCTTCCCAGACAGTCGCTTCCCATTCTGAATGTATGAAACTGATTGTTCCTTCCTAAGTGGAGCACTTTGCCTTTGTCTTTATTAAACTTCATCCTGTTTACCTCGGACCATTTCTCCAATTTGTCCAGGTCATTTTGAATTATGACCCTATCCTCCAGATTAGTTGCAACCCCTCCCAGCTTGATATCATCTGCAAACTTAATAAGCGTACTTAATATACCAAAGTCTAAATCGTTGATGAAGATATTGAAGAAAGCCGGTCCCAAAACAGACCCATGAGGAACCCCACTTGTTTGCCTTTCCAGCAGGATTGTGAACCATTAATAACTACTCTCTGAGTATGGTTATCCAGCCAGTTATGCATCCACCTTATAGTAGCCCATCTAAGTTGTATTTACCTAGTTTATTGATAAGAATATCATGCGAGACCGTATCAAACGCCTTACTGAAGTCTAGGTATACCACATCTACCGCTTCTCCCTTATCCACAAGACTCATTATCCTATTAAAGAAAGCTATCGGATTGGTTTGACATGATTTGTTCTTTACAAATCCATGCTGGCTGTTCCCTATCATCTTGCCACTTTCCAAGTGTTTACAGATTATTTCCTTAATTACTTGCTCCATTATCTTCCCTGGCACAGAAGTTAAACTAACTGGTCTGTAATTTCCTGGGTTGTTCTTATTTCCCTTTTTATAGATGGGCACTATATTACTATCACTATACATGGGCACATGTTCACATTAAAAGATTAGTATTTTATATATACTTTAATTACAAGAGGGAGAGACATGAAATGCAGTAGCAGAAATAAAGAAACACAAATATTTGGTAAGGTTTTATTTTACAATGAACATAAATTCATGTAAGTACTTTTTGCCCCAGGGTAACTTGACCATTTAATTATATACAGCAAATACCAATCAGTGGCTAGAAAATATGATATTACCACAAATTATCTACATGAATATTTTGTCTTTTATACTAGAGAGCATTACACAGCAATTGCTTTTGTACAGTGTTTCTTTTGTACATTTTAAAGTGCTTTAGCAGACAATACAAAATGGAAATACAGACTACAATTTAATTACATTGATTAGAAAAACATAAATGTTATGGGCTTGGTTTTAAAAAAGTAATTTACTTGCAAAATGGAACTTTACTGTTTTTCTCCTTTTAAAAGACTTAAAATATCTTCTATATTTGTGTAAGCTCTTCACACATATAATAGTAGAGATTTACATTTTATATAGCTCCTTTTATCCTGAAGGATCCCAAAATGCTATACAAAAAGCAGTACTTGGATGAGTCTGAGACATTGCTGTTTGCACAGTTGAAACTGGAGAAACGAGTTCAAAGAGAATGTATAAACACACTGTGCTAGCTTTGAAAGGATTAACAATGTACATATATTCACAATGGAATTTACAGAAATAGCTGCAGTCCCTTTATTGATCCACTTTACAAGCAACAACATGGAGCCCAACAAACCTTTCCAACTGTTATTCCCACTTGCCTCTTCCTAAACAAGTGACAATGCATTATTGTTATTCGTAACATATTTTTGTATGCTAAAGTGGAAGAGGAGGTGAAGATTGGTGTTTTTGAAGTGAGCATTGAAAACAGTGAGTAACTCTTCATTAATATACTAACAAGGGTTATATTTTGTTGAGAAAGTTCTTTGTGTCACACAATAGCTTTGATCTCCTTTGTTACAGTAGCTAAAGGATGATTTTTTATATGAAAAACATATGTATTGTAACCTATACAAGAAACCACCATTATAAAACACATTATTAGCTTGAAACTGTTCCAAAATATCTCTAGGTATGCTGTATGCAGTTCTGTTTCCATTTTTTAGAAAAGCATCGCCATTATGTAGCCTATATTTGTCCAACCCTCAAGGTTTTGCTTTCAACCTAATGCTACTATAATCATCCAGAGCAAAATTTGGGTCCATCTGACCCCACTAATGACCAGTAGCCCCCTTTTAGACAAATGTATATGTTATTGATGAATCTGTATATTTTTGTACACTGGAGCATGGTAGGCCCCCATTTCATCTGATTCTGCCTGCTATTAGGTTTCATACTTCTGTAATGTGCAATGCAGAGATGCCACAGTGGCAAATCATTTTGCTGGATCTTAAAAGCAAGCACTTTCCTCCGAGGTGGGGGTGGGAGAGAAGTGTCTCCTCCACATTCCCCACAAACACATGGTGGCACTGGTTTGTGATTGCTTTGAGGGCTATACGGCAGGAGACCCACTCATGGCAGAGGTGTGGCTTCAGCTTCCAGGAGTTCCAACTGAAAGGAAAGAAATTGTAAATACCATGAGCACTTCACTGATTTTCCCCTCTCACATGTTTCTTGCAAATGTTTTTGGGTGAATGTACCCAGCATTTGCTGTGACTACCTCACCCTGCAAAGCTGAGGGCAAGAATTTTTTTTCAGTTTACATCACAAAGGCAGAGAAATTACCACAGAAATAGTAGATTTAGCTTCAGGGCTATATATGATAAGATATTTAAAGAGAAACATGCAAATTCCTTGTTGATCTTTTAAAACTAAGCGTAGTTCTTCCATTTAAAATCTCTGGCAGGTTCTCGGTAAGGTAAGATGACAACAATTGCATTTATTTTTTACCCAAGTATTTGAATAGGCCAGATCCTATTCATCCCTAGGTGTGAATTAACATAACTCTATTGAATTCCATTGTGTTGTGCTGCTCAAAACCAGTGGAGGATCCCACCCAATGGCTGTGTCTAGACTGGCCAGTTTTTCCGGAAAATCAGCCGCAGAAATTAGACAGCAGAAATTTGTTTTCCACAAAAAAGCCCCGATCGCGAAAATGGCGATCGGGGCTTTTTTGCGGAAAAGCGTGTCTAGATTGGCCATGGACACTTTTCTGCAAAAAGTGCTTTTGTGGAAAAGCATCTGTGCCAATCTAGACGCTCTGTTCCGAAAATGCTTTTAACGGAAAATTTTTCTATTAAAAGCATTTCCGGAAAATCATGCAGTCTAGACGTAGCCATATGCTTACATCAGAGGATTTAAAACAGAGACATGTATTTGCTATGTCATAGCTAGCCTGCCATGTTTGGCATTACACGCCAAGCACATAATAATGGGAGTTTTCTTTCTGCAGGGAGAATCCTGTATAAATGTCATTCATACAGATCTTCAGTCCTCTGAGTGCACTTTCTGCAGCCATTGCTGAAAAGTTAGTGTTCTCTAAGACAGTGGTTTTCAGCCAGGCTACACAACTCCTCTAAATCAGCATTTCTCAACCTGGGCGTTGAGACTCCCAAGAGAACCATGGGATGGGTTAAAAGGGGTTGCAAATGCAGGGCCAGCATTAAGGGGTGGCAAGCCAGCCAATTGCCCAGGCCCTCACACAAAGGTAAGATACATGCTTCAACCCCAGACAGCAGTGGGACTTGGGCTTCATCCGTGCCACCCAATGCTCTGGCTTTAGTCAAGGCTTACAAGTGAAAAATAATAAGACAAATCAACCTCTTGAAAGGGACGTAGACGTCTGGAAAGTTTCAAAGTCACTGCTCTAAGACACATGAGTATCTTCTTCTAAGATTTTTGCTTCCTATTGTGCCAAACACAATCATCACCCTGTCTGCCACATTAGGAGTTTTAACTTTTTAAAAGTTCCTCTGTGGTAAGTTCACAGTTCAGTATGATACTGAAAAGACGAGTTAAATCTCCCCCCCCCCCACACACACACACAATGCAACCATAGAGGTATGATAGATATACAGAGTTTTCTTTTTTGTGATCAGGGTGGCACCTGAGCAGCAGAGCATGTTCAACAATTTAAACAGCAAAACCTGCCAGCTTTTCTTTTCCCTCCTGGAAAGCCATTGCCCGTTCCTATGCCCTGATAATGAGCTGTATTTTTCAGTGTTGAAATCAAGGTGAAACCTTTGCAAGTGAAATGTCTGCTGCTCAAAAAGTAGAGCTCCTAATTAGATGTAGACCACTGGCTAAAGCATATTGAAACAGGAGAGGGAAAGCTCTCCCTGCACCTGCCACAAAGGAAGAGAAAGTGCTTCAGAGATCACCCAACTCAAAGACAGGAGGGGAACTCTTAACTATTATTTCAGTAAGGAGGTGTCTTCCATGGTTTAGAATAAGATAGGATCTGTCAAACCTGAACTTGAGTTTAGCAGAGGTTTAGCAGTGTCAACATTTCACAAGCTTTATTTCAGATCTGCCCACAAATCTATGGTGGAAAGTCCATTAGCAGCTACTTAAGTAGAAATGGACCATAATCCTCAGCTCTGAATAATCCTATGCTTTGGGGAAATTTGCATCCAAAAATGACTGTTGGGCTTAGGCCAATCTCTTACTTTCATAGATCTGATAAACTACTTTCAAGTTTTCATATTTTGCGTACTTTTTCCATAGACTAATGAACATGTATCTTGTTCTGAGTATTTAGTTAATTTAATACTTATAAAAATGCCTGCAATTGCAGCAGCTATTTTTTAAAGATAATCAAGTGTCATGGTATCTTGATAAAGATTTATTTTTCTGCTTTGTTTCTTTAACAACAGGAATGTTATAATTTTCTTTTCCCATTTAGTTTGGTATTTCCCTGGGAAGACTCATGGGGAATAGAAGTAATCAGACTTAATTAAGGGGCATGGATGTTAAATAACTAACAAAAGAACTTTTTAAGCAGTTTGAAAATTGAATTAAATACATATCAATAAAAAAATGACAAAGCAAACCTAAGTGTTTTAAACAGCTTAAATAAAAGTCTCTTCCCCTCTCAATAAATCATTTGATTTTATTGGGATCTGTGATAAATAAACCTACTAGTTCTCTAAGGCTTGTCTGCACACAAAAGTTTAATTATATCAGTATAGCTGAAGTGGCAAAGAAACCCCTCCCTGTCTAGTATGGATGCAGTTATATTGGCATTAATTTGGCATGCATAGTAATAGTTTATTCCTCTATGGGAAGGGATTACAAGGGCCTCCATGGGAAGAGCATAACTGTGCCCACACTAGGGATGGAACTAGTATTACAGTATATTGATTACAAATAAATCATACCTCTAACGAACATAGTTGGTTATACTAGTACAAAAACAAAGTGTAGACTGGACCAAGGTTTGTATAGTCTCCCAGGAAAAACAGGGCCTTTAAGAACTTCTTCATAGACCATAAAGAAACAAAAAACGTGAAATCACCTTTAAAATGGGAGGGGATATGGGGTATCAGTTTGGCTTTCCACCGTATGCTAGTGGTGTCAATAGAAAAGTCTATGATCAGTCACAAGTTACAGAATGTTCAGAAGCTGCAAACATGCCGTTAAGACCATTAGGCTCCTTTCTCTGGTGTACAGAGTGTGTGTGTGTGTGTGTGTGTGTGTGTGTGTGTGTGTGTGTGTACATAACCACATGAACACACTAGGCCTCATCATGCAAGGTATATCTGAAAGCCCTCTACTGCCAAATTTCAATGGAAACTGTGAGCACTTTTAGCTTCTCACAGCCCGGGGCTGTGTGTACGTGCATATACCAGCTTTAAAGATAAACCAAGCTACTTCCTGATAGCTATACATCAGTAAAGACTGTAACTTCAGAATACATGTCATCTCCAGGAGGGAGACCTGAATCCAGAGATGACATCTCCACTGCTAGTCATACCTGCTGTTTAGTCCTATCCACAGTACTGGCAGTGGAGGCATGATCACGAGTGTTTTGTCGGATGCGGGTGGAGTTTTGCTGCTCAATAGTGGAGGAAGTGGGAATGCAGAATTCTCTGAAACATCTTTTGAAGTTTTCATCTAGAAATGCATAAAGGACTGGATTAAGGCAGCTATTTGTGTACCCTAAAGCGATACAGAAGTGCCAGGAGACTGTTTGGAATGTAGTTTCTGGAATATTGATCAAGGCTTTAATGATGACATAAATGTGGATGGGAGTCCAGCAGACAATGAACACCGCCACCACTACAAGGACCATTCTCGTGATTCTCCTCAGGTTCCTATCCTTCTCTTTGGAGCCAGACAGCATACGGACACTCTTCAGGCGTAAAATCATCAACCCATAGCACACGGTAATGATCAGGACTGGCATGATGAAGGCAAAGATGAATACACAGATTTTCAGTAGGTTGTCCCAGTACCAAGCTGGGTGAGAGAACGTAAGTGTGCAGTCAATAGAGCCTAAAGTAAAACAAAATTACAGAGAAGAATGAACAGTTCAGTGTTTAACTTGCTTGGTCTTCATCCCTCCCTCCTCCCTCCTGCAACACTGTACAGCACATTAATGCAATTTTATAAAATGAGTAACTAAAACAAAACAGCTTTGAATAGCTGATACATGTTTGTTTAAACCCATGCAAGTACTTTACCACAGGCCTGGACATCTTCTGTAGAACGTACTGTTATTGCTACAGATTGGGGACATTTTGGGTAGAATGCCCCAACCAAAAGGAATCTTGCTTTGTTTTTGTTTGTTTGCAAACCCTAAGTGAACTTTTTGGAAAACTTGCTCCAATTTTCAGTCTCACCATGGAACCTGATGAAACAGGGCAGTTTAAACAATGTCTTGTTCTGAGGATTTGGAGGTTAAAAGGACCAATGAGAAAGAGAGATGGTTTTTCAACTGTGGAGAGCAGCATGAAAAAGACATACAAGTGTGAATGGGAGGAGGAGACCAAGGTGAGCAACAAGATGAGTGGATGAAGCAGAAGAGGCGACGAGAAGTTGCAGGCAGGGGACCTCAAAGTCAGGAGCCATTTTAATTTTATGCAAAATGAAACAAGGCAGCATAGGCAGGCTTTGGGGCTTGGTGCTGACTTGCATGCTATACCTTATTTAGCAAAACATACTGACATGACACAAGCTTATACCCACTGAAATCAATTGGACCTTTGTAACAAGCCAAACTTTTCTCTTTCTCTCTGGGGTCCCTTACAGATGGTCTTGGATGCCTCGTTACTGTCAATAACCGAACCCTAAATAGAGTTTTCTGTGTCTGAACAGCATGCCCATTATTTCAAACTGCAATCGAAATAATGGGCTTGCTATTACGACATCCTGGTAAACCTTATTCCATGAGAATTAAGGGATTTGTTGGAATAGCAGTCTATTTTGAAATTTGGCTCTGTGTAGAGAGTGCCAAATTTTGAAATAGATTATCCTGAAATAAGCTATGTAATTTGTGTAGCTCAGATTGTATAGCTTATTTTGAGCTAGCACCACTATGTAGACATACCCTCAGTTAAAGCCATAGCACACAGTCATTTTTCTCTCTGTAAGTGCACTACATGCCACTTGTGATGGGGTGAAGCAACCCCATCACCAGGCGCAGCCAGAAGGGCCGTCCATGGTGGCAGGAGCTGTGGCTTCAGCCCCGGCGGTGCAGGGAAACCCCCCCCCGGGCAGTCCCCGAATGGGGCTAGGAATGGGGCTAGGTGAGGCCAGGAGCGGCCGGCCAGAGGGCGGTGTGAGCACTGTGTGCCAGCGCCTGGGGATGACGTGGCCTGACGTCACTGATGTGCCAGTAAAGGAAGGGGACGGGCACCCGGAAGGAGAGGAGAATGGCACGGGGGAGGGATAAAAAGGGTCGGACAGGCTGGAGAAGGGGGGGGGAGGTCATGGAGAGAGAAGTCGGAGAGGTAAGGGAAGCCTCGGGGGGGTCGGAAGTGTGAGGAAACATGGACCTGTCTCCTCGTGGAGGGGAGGAGGTTGAGCCCACCGCTGGCAGGAGAATTCTCTGAAACATCTTTTGAAGTTTTCATCTAGAAATGCATAAAGGACTGGATTAAGGCAGCTATTTGTGTACCCTAAAGCGATACAGAAGTGCCAGGAGACTGTTTGGAATGTAGTTTCTGGAATATTGATCAAGGCTTTAATGATGACATAAATGTGGATGGGAGTCCAGCAGACAATGAACACCGCCACCACTACAAGGACCATTCTCGTGATTCTCCTCAGGTTCCTATCCTTCTCTTTGGAGCCAGACAGCATACGGACACTCTTCAGGCGTAAAATCATCAACCCATAGCACACGGTAATGATCAGGACTGGCATGATGAAGGCAAAGATGAATACACAGATTTTCAGTAGGTTGTCCCAGTACCAAGCTGGGTGAGAGAACGTAAGTGTGCAGTCAATAGAGCCTAAAGTAAAACAAAATTACAGAGAAGAATGAACAGTTCAGTGTTTAACTTGCTTGGTCTTCATCCCTCCCTCCTCCCTCCTGCAACACTGTACAGCACATTAATGCAATTTTATAAAATGAGTAACTAAAACAAAACAGCTTTGAATAGCTGATACATGTTTGTTTAAACCCATGCAAGTACTTTACCACAGGCCTGGACATCTTCTGTAGAACGTACTGTTATTGCTACAGATTGGGGACATTTTGGGTAGAATGCCCCAACCAAAAGGAATCTTGCTTTGTTTTTGTTTGTTTGCAAACCCTAAGTGAACTTTTTGGAAAACTTGCTCCAATTTTCAGTCTCACCATGGAACCTGATGAAACAGGGCAGTTTAAACAATGTCTTGTTCTGAGGATTTGGAGGTTAAAAGGACCAATGAGAAAGAGAGATGGTTTTTCAACTGTGGAGAGCAGCATGAAAAAGACATACAAGTGTGAATGGGAGGAGGAGACCAAGGTGAGCAACAAGATGAGTGGATGAAGCAGAAGAGGCGACGAGAAGTTGCAGGCAGGGGACCTCAAAGTCAGGAGCCATTTTAATTTTATGCAAAATGAAACAAGGCAGCATAGGCAGGCTTTGGGGCTTGGTGCTGACTTGCATGCTATACCTTATTTAGCAAAACATACTGACATGACACAAGCTTATACCCACTGAAATCAATTGGACCTTTGTAACAAGCCAAACTTTTCTCTTTCTCTCTGGGGTCCCTTACAGATGGTCTTGGATGCCTCGTTACTGTCAATAACCGAACCCTAAATAGAGTTTTCTGTGTCTGAACAGCATGCCCATTATTTCAAACTGCAATCGAAATAATGGGCTTGCTATTACGACATCCTGGTAAACCTTATTCCATGAGAATTAAGGGATTTGTTGGAATAGCAGTCTATTTTGAAATTTGGCTCTGTGTAGAGAGTGCCAAATTTTGAAATAGATTATCCTGAAATAAGCTATGTAATTTGTGTAGCTCAGATTGTATAGCTTATTTTGAGCTAGCACCACTATGTAGACATACCCTCAGTTAAAGCCATAGCACACAGTCATTTTTCTCTCTGTAAGTGCACTACATGCCACTTGTGATGGGGTGAAGCAACCCCATCACCAGGCGCAGCCAGAAGGGCCGTCCATGGTGGCAGGAGCTGTGGCTTCAGCCCCGGCGGTGCAGGGAAACCCCATAACCACATGAACACACTAGGCCTCATCATGCAAGGTATATCTGAAAGCCCTCTACTGCCAAATTTCAATGGAAACTGTGAGCACTTTTAGCTTCTCACAGCCCGGGGCTGTGTGTACGTGCATATACCAGCTTTAAAGATAAACCAAGCTACTTCCTGATAGCTATACATCAGTAAAGACTGTAACTTCAGAATACATGTCATCTCCAGGAGGGAGACCTGAATCCAGAGATGACATCTCCACTGCTAGTCATACCTGCTGTTTAGTCCTATCCACAGTACTGGCAGTGGAGGCATGATCACGAGTGTTTTGTCGGATGCGGGTGGAGTTTTGCTGCTCAATAGTGGAGGAAGTGGGAATGCAGAATTCTCTGAAACATCTTTTGAAGTTTTCATCTAGAAATGCATAAAGGACTGGATTAAGGCAGCTATTTGTGTACCCTAAAGCGATACAGAAGTGCCAGGAGACTGTTTGGAATGTAGTTTCTGGAATATTGATCAAGGCTTTAATGATGACATAAATGTGGATGGGAGTCCAGCAGACAATGAACACCGCCACCACTACAAGGACCATTCTCGTGATTCTCCTCAGGTTCCTATCCTTCTCTTTGGAGCCAGACAGCATACGGACACTCTTCAGGCGTAAAATCATCAACCCATAGCACACGGTAATGATCAGGACTGGCATGATGAAGGCAAAGATGAATACACAGATTTTCAGTAGGTTGTCCCAGTACCAAGCTGGGTGAGAGAACGTAAGTGTGCAGTCAATAGAGCCTAAAGTAAAACAAAATTACAGAGAAGAATGAACAGTTCAGTGTTTAACTTGCTTGGTCTTCATCCCTCCCTCCTCCCTCCTGCAACACTGTACAGCACATTAATGCAATTTTATAAAATGAGTAACTAAAACAAAACAGCTTTGAATAGCTGATACATGTTTGTTTAAACCCATGCAAGTACTTTACCACAGGCCTGGACATCTTCTGTAGAACGTACTGTTATTGCTACAGATTGGGGACATTTTGGGTAGAATGCCCCAACCAAAAGGAATCTTGCTTTGTTTTTGTTTGTTTGCAAACCCTAAGTGAACTTTTTGGAAAACTTGCTCCAATTTTCAGTCTCACCATGGAACCTGATGAAACAGGGCAGTTTAAACAATGTCTTGTTCTGAGGATTTGGAGGTTAAAAGGACCAATGAGAAAGAGAGATGGTTTTTCAACTGTGGAGAGCAGCATGAAAAAGACATACAAGTGTGAATGGGAGGAGGAGACCAAGGTGAGCAACAAGATGAGTGGATGAAGCAGAAGAGGCGACGAGAAGTTGCAGGCAGGGGACCTCAAAGTCAGGAGCCATTTTAATTTTATGCAAAATGAAACAAGGCAGCATAGGCAGGCTTTGGGGCTTGGTGCTGACTTGCATGCTATACCTTATTTAGCAAAACATACTGACATGACACAAGCTTATACCCACTGAAATCAATTGGACCTTTGTAACAAGCCAAACTTTTCTCTTTCTCTCTGGGGTCCCTTACAGATGGTCTTGGATGCCTCGTTACTGTCAATAACCGAACCCTAAATAGAGTTTTCTGTGTCTGAACAGCATGCCCATTATTTCAAACTGCAATCGAAATAATGGGCTTGCTATTACGACATCCTGGTAAACCTTATTCCATGAGAATTAAGGGATTTGTTGGAATAGCAGTCTATTTTGAAATTTGGCTCTGTGTAGAGAGTGCCAAATTTTGAAATAGATTATCCTGAAATAAGCTATGTAATTTGTGTAGCTCAGATTGTATAGCTTATTTTGAGCTAGCACCACTATGTAGACATACCCTC